ACACGAATCGTATGACATCCTAGTAACAGTAAGATACGGTGATTGGATCTAATCTCGTAATAAACAATACGTCCCACAAACCATAACATATACTCAAACTTAACACACAAATGTTACGGGTAGTTGGTGGAAAAGAACTATAACAACGGTAGAAGATTAAACAGAGAAGCAGCAAAATACTCGTAGGAAAGAGACAATCCTCGGAACCCTATATCAAACATGAAGGTACTAAAATGGGTAAAATTTGTTTCAGGACCCTCCTTCCACAAGGACGACGGTAGCGGAGAATCTGGTCAGGGTCTATCAGGCCCTGCGCCCACTTTCGTACAGGAGGCGACTGCTAGATACTCAGGAACAATACCTAAGGTACAAAGCCGGGGCAAGAAAAGAAGAAGGAGATGAAGGGAAACCGTGAAAAGTAAGTTAAAGATAGTATCTATCCATTGACGTTAATAGGTATACGTCACTATAAGTCTCTATATGAGTATGATCAAATTTTGACTGGTATCACGATTTCAACGGATCACCGGTGCGCAAAAATTAAACCAACAAACGCAGGCACCAAACCCTGAGCGGCGCCTGTCCCCAAGAATATGCTAATACGCGAAGAAGATGATATGACTTGTATAGTATATTTAATTTTGAGGGTTGAATTAAAATATTCAACAGTGGCTTCTCATCACCTGGACTCTTGTTGTTACTGTAGGGATGCTGATCAGCAGCGACAAGGAACATGTCTATGTCAAGTCCATGTCATGGGTGTCATGTTTAAGGGGTCTTCTGCAAATTCACGTCGAAAAAAATTATACAACAAATAATGTTGGCACCCGATATTCTGGCTCCAAAATCCGTACAAAATCAGAGAGTCGTTATTGAACATGATGGAAAGCGGATCAGTGTACGAGACTCGTTTAATTAATTGAAAATAGTCGGCATCTCCTGATGACAGCAAAATTGAATTTCCGATCATAGGAGTCGTTCTACAGCATCTACCTATCTCTTGAACGAACTCTATAAGGGATGCAGCCGCGGAATATCCAACGTGAACGACCCCTGTAAGCAGCTTGTTGTTTATACCTAAACTCAAAGCTGAAGTAGCTACCATTACGGGTGGTGCTCCGGCATTCCAACGAAGAACCCTATTCTTTTTTGTCGTTTCGTCCAGTTTCGAGTGATAAAAATCACAATCTATTCCTCTATCCTGTAGCTTCATACAGAATGATTCGACGCCTATCCTATTATTAAAAAACACGATAATGACTCTGTTCTTGAGATACTTTTGCAAGAATTCCTTGATGAAAAAAATCTACGAATTTATCCGGTATATGTGATATGACGTTAATGTCCGTACTCTCTAACGTCTCGGGGAAGACTTTAGTGGAAAAGGATGAGAAGGACACAGACGGCTTTAGAGAAATAAAATCAAAAATGCGCAAACTGCGGATGTTTAAAATATACTTTAAAGGTTCATAGAAGTAATAGGGAAAAGTTGCAGAACAGAGAACAAACGATATGTTCCGCAGATTACTTAACCTTTTTAAAAAGACAGGATAAACGCCTCTAAATCCCAGTCCCCATGTTGGGATTACATGAACTTCGTCTATTACTACTTTTAAATTACTTACTTTACCGAATACATTAATTACAAAATTAGAGACTACCTTGTCATAAAAGAGCTTCTCGGGCGTAGTAATTAAGACGAAAGGCCTGTTCATGGACAAGGCCGAATTTACACTCAGAAGAAAAATTTTATCCGTCAATGAGTCCTCTCTTAGATTGATTACAAAAAAATTAGACTCTCGGAAGGTTCCGATCTGTTCTTCTAACAAGGATATAAGGGGTGACACGAGTAACAGGGACGATGAACAGACTAAAGGGGGTATTGTAAAACACAATGTCTTCCCCCATCCCGTTGGGGCGAGAATAAGAAAATTCTCATTCGGGAAATTGATGATGGCCTCTACAACTTCGAGCTGAGCTTCGCGAAGTTTAATTCCCAGCATATACTCGACCTCTTCGATGTTTCTGTGGGAAAGAAATTATGGGAATGTAGAAAAATATGGGTAATAATCTATTCTACAACAAATTATTACATACCGAACGACGTTACAGAATAACAACCATTCTTTACGCATACAATAGTATATAACAGTTTCCGTGATAACATGTTCGGGTTGCTGTAAGATGTCACAAAGGGGTCGATAGGAATTTACGTTTAGATATGCAGTGACGAGATAGTCCGTTAAAGATTTTTTTTTTTTTTTTTTTTTTTTTTTTTCTGCGAAATGGTGTCTCTATATATGTAGTATCGACAACCACTCCAAAGAATGCTGATCAGCATTCGTAAGAACTACTACTCATTATCGAATTTTATGTAGAGGACCTGTCGTCAGTGCATACAAGCGACCGTACCGTGTCGAGTCAGTTCCGGACAGTAGTATATGAAAGAGTCTTCTATTGTTAAAGAGGGGAAAAAACACAAAATGAAAAAAGGGAGGGAAAAGAAGGAGAGCAGGGAAGGGAAGTAAAGACGGGAGAAATACATACATATGCTTATTCGCTGAGGGGTAATGCAACGTAAAGAAATGGGCGTTGGGTACACCCTCATGTAAACTAAAATATAGAATGCTATAATAATAATTGCAGTCATTTGCGATGTGACACGGGAAGCTAATTAGTAGTTTATTACTAAGCCCACTAAGGATAGATATTCTATGCAAAAATCCTTTTAAATTTAAAGTCCATCTCGTGTAGATGGTAACGGTAGGTGGTGCGACGGGAATGCTGATCAGCACTCACGATATCCGTACCACGAATTATGACATTATGTTTAATTTGTGGTGTGGACGTTGTATATAAGCGAATATATTGCAACAGGACAACATCGATTAATAATATACGAAAATAATGCCCGCGACGTAGCTGGCATACCCGAACGCGGTTGTGTCATTCTCTCTTAGGCGGGCTGAATATCTGAGAGAGATGCAGTTGCATATAAGCAACCGTGCCGCGTCGAAACGGCGTTGGTACGATGTCGTATAAAGTGTCTTGTTATTTCGCATGGTAAAAAAAGGAATAAAAAAAAAAAAAAAAAATAAATGGGATGATAGGTAATCACAGTATCTTGTTGGTGTAGAGATATCTTCTTTGAATTCATATGAAAAGGAGGAAATAAAATAGGAGGTCGTTAAAAGGTAGAGGCCACGTATTAATATTTACCTATTGGGAGGCGCTGTTGTTTTACGGGATGGTTCAGCATGATTCTCTCTAGCGGGTTCCCTCAGTTCCGCATTCTGAGACTGAGTATTAGAGTTCGGCAACGGAATATTATTCAATAGCTCGTCTGTCGATTCATCAGAAGACATCGGGTGCGGAGGTCGGGATTTTGCCGGCGTCGATTTCCCTGTCGGCTTTTGAGTGAGTCTACGAACAAATAAAATGTTTCATCAGTTAGAGACTACAACAAAAAAAGACGTAAAAAGAGAAAGTGGCGGCTCCGTACGGGGTAAATTGCATCGGATAGATCACATATTAGATACAGTGATCATGATATGCGTGATAAAACGTTTGCCATAAACAATTCCCATATATTGCATTGGTATAAATCGATGCATCGAGCCGCAGACAATAGAGTTGGAGGGGAGGGGGGGGGTCTTCTTCGTGTGCGGCCGATGGCTTTAGCCAGCCCCACTTCAACAGGAATAAATAATACCCCCGTTTGGAAGAAAGTATATCTTCTGAGCTTGAACTTATGTAGTTGGATTAGACTGAGAACGGCTGGGTGACAATTTTCGCCAAATAGGAATTTTTCCGTGCGACCGGAGGATTCTTAAAGGTAATGGCGGCGTGAGAGACCTTTCCAACGAGATGCCAGATAGCATAGCCTGATATAAGGATGAATGTTTTCCAAAATCTCGGAAAAATGGACCCCCCCCCTTCC